CCGTACCTCTTCCCTGACCTTGCTGCCTTTCCCACCGTTGCTGACCTCATTACGCACCTCCGCACTAGTGACACTCGCTACCGCGCTGCACTTCCTGCTGACTTCTGCACCACGAACCCCCCCCCCATGTACATCACTCTGTACTTCCTAGTCACTCGCCTCCCTGACTCCCTTCGAGTAGTCAGGGACCACTTTCTCTCAATCTGTCCCACCACACTCACCGTCGACCTCCTCGAGAAGGCCCTCCTCGCGATAGAGAAGAACATTGTTGCTGTAGGAGCCTCTCAAGGTGACCCGCGCACCCCCATCTTTGAGGGGTGTTCTCCCTCCCCCCTGCTGCACTGTGTTTCCTCTGCTGCTGCGGCCAACCTCCTTGGTCTTGAGTCGGTCGGTGCGGCGTCTGCCCCTAGCAGGAGACGCCGCTCTGGCAAGGGCAAGGGGGGCAAGGGAGCTGGAGGAGCGGGCGGTGGAGGTGGAGGTGGAGGCAGTGGGGGGAGTGGGGGTGGCGGTGGAGGTGGAGGTGGGGGTGGGGGGGTCGGTGGCGGCAGTGGCGGCGGAGGCGGCGGCGGCGGTGGCGGTGGTAGCGGAGGTGGCGGAGGAGGCGGCGGTGGAGGCGGCAGTGGAGGCAGCGGCGGCAGTGGAGGCAGCGGAGGCGGTGGAGGCAGTGGGGGTGGCGGTGGAGCTGGTCGTGGGTCTTCGCAGAGGAGTGGCTCAGGTGGTGGCTCGCGCCAGCACCAGCAGCGTGGTCATGCGCCCCTGTCCCCTCTGCAGCTCCGTGAGTGGTACACTGCACGCCAGCGGGGTGGGGGTTTTGGTCCGTGCACCTACGTCCTGCGCACCGGCGACCGTGCGGGTGAGCAGTGTGGGGGTGCGCACCCCACTCCGCGCTGCTTTGGCCGCTTGACGGACGCGTGGCGTCACCAGTTCCCGGAGGCCTCCGAGATCCCTCGCAGGGACGAGCTATCTAGGGCGGGGGTTGCCATCTTTGATCTTGACTTCGATGCTATTCTCTCTGCCATGTATGTTGTGTCTCATAGTGATGAGGGTGACTGCTACCGCTGTTTCCCGCCCGATCCGGGCATTGAGGCTGCTGCCCTAGGTGCTTGCGACGCTGCTGCTCTAGGTGCTAGTGTGTCTGCGTCCTCCGGTACTGGTGAGTCTGCGCTCTCAGGTACTACGTCGCCTCCCTCACCTTCACTCTTGACTCTGGGGCGTCTCGCTCCTTCTTTCGGGACCGCACCACACTCACGCCGCTTAGTCGGCCGGTTGCGGTGTCTCTGACTGACCCCTCCGGGGGTCCCGTACTGTCTCGCTTCTCCACAGTCCTCCCGTGTCCGGCGGCTCCCTCTGGCGCCCTGTCTGGTCTCTACCTCCCCTCGTTCTTGACGAACCTGGTGAGTGGTGCTGACCTAAAGGATGGGGGAGTACACCAGTTCACTCCTGCGCGTTAGCGGGTGACGCACTGTACAGAGGCTAGCACAGGCCGGCATTTGGCTACGTTTACCCGTCAGTCGGGGTCGAGCCTCTACACACTGACCACTGCGTCTCCTCCCGTTACCGAGTCTGGTAGAGTCGCTTCGTCCGGTCAGGTGTTTGCTGCAGCGTCTAGGTCTGGTCCTCAGTCTGCCCCCTGTTCGTGTCGTCTCTTGTCTCACGAGACTCTCCTCTGGCACCACCGTCTTGGTCACCCCTCTCTGCTTTGGCTCAAAGGCATGGCCTCCCGTCTTCTTGTGTCTGGTCTTCCCCGGTCCCTCCCTCCCCTTCCTCAGGGCCCTAGCCCTGCATGTGTCCCCTGTGTCGAGGGGCGCCAGCGGGCTGCCCCTCACTCCCAGTTTCCTCCGACAGAGGCCCCGTTGCAGACGCTTCACATGGACGTGTGGGGCCCAGCCCGCGTCCGTGGACAGGGTCACGAGCGCTACTTCGTGCTCGTTGTGAACGACTACTCACGTTACACCACGGTCTTCCCCTTGCGCAGCAAGGGTGATGTCACTGAGGTGCTGATCGTCTGGATCCGCGCGGCTCGTCTCCAGCTCAGGCGGAGCTTTGGCTCGGACTTTCCTGTTCTGCGTCTGCACTCGGACAGAGGCGGAGAGTTTTCCTCTGGCCTACTGCGAGCCTACTGTCGCGCACGAGGCATCCGTCAGACCTCTACGCTTCCGGACTCACCGCAGCAAAATGGGATTGCTGAGCGCCGCATTGGCATGGTCATGGACGTCGCTCGTACGTCTATGATGCATGCGGCTGCCCCCCATTTTCTGTGGCCGTTTGCGGTGAGGTACGCGGTGCATCAGATCAACCTCCACCCCAGGGTCTCCAGGCCGGAGACCTCCCCAGCCTTGCTGTAGACGGGGAAGGTTGGCGATGCGTCGGCGTTCCGGGTCTGGGGATCTCGGGCGTTCTCCCTACGCTGGTCCTACTGGATGTCTTACTGAGCGTCGTGAGCCTGCGTCTCGTCCTGCGTCGCCTGTTCGTGCTGCTCGCACTAGGGGTCGCGGTTCGCGCCAGCGTCCTCCTCCTGTCCCTGGCAGGCACCGGATGTCTCTACGTCCGTCTACTGCTCCTCTGCGTGCCCCTTTGCCTTCCCCTCCTGAGTCCTCTCTTCCTGCACTTGCCGACCCTGAGTCGGACTCTCTTCGTGTTGCCAGTCCTACTGTCACGCGTCTCCTTGCTACTGTTGTCACTGACCCTTCTTTTGAGTCTACTGCCGCGTCTGCTCTCGTTACTGAGCTCGTCGACTTTGCTGCGCGCTGTCGTCTAGACTACGCTGCTAGTCTTGTCGCTGAGTCTGATTCTGCCTGTCCTCCGTCCGTCGAGGGTGAGTGTGCCCTTGGCACGGACGTCCTTGAGGACAGGCAGGAGGAGTTCCAGTGTCAGGCGGCTTCTTCACCTCATCTCGTGTCCGTACTACTTACCCCTGAGGGAGACCCGGATGCACTTCACATCCCGACTCCGCGCTCTTACGCGGAGGCGATAGAGGGTCCCTACTCCTTGCAGTGGCAGGCAGCTATGGATGCAAAGATGGCTTCCTGGAAGTCCACAGGCACCTACGTTGACGCTGTCCCCCCTCTTGGGGCGAACATCGTCAGTGGCATGTGGATCTTCAGGGTGAAGCGGCCGCCGGGTTCTCCACCCGTATTCAAGGCGCGTTACGTGGCTTGTGGCTTCAGTCAGCGGCAGGGAGTTGACTACTTTCAGACCTTCTCCCCCACCCCGAAGATGACCACTCTTCGGGTACTGCTGCACATTGCAGCTCACCGTGACTACGAGCTCCACTCTCTCGACTTCAGCACAGCTTTCTTGCAGGGCAGCCTGCACGAGGAGATCTGGCTGCGCCGCCCACGTGGCTTCACTGGGTCTTTCCCTCCTGGTACCCAGTGGAGTCTCCGGCGTCCACTCTACGGTCTCCGCCAGGCGCCACGTGAGTGGCACGACACACTGAGGACTACGCTTGCGGCTCTTGGGTTTGCTCCTTCTACTGCCGACCCGTCGCTGTTTCTGCGCACCGACACCTCTCTGCCGCCGTTCTACATCCTCGTGTACGTCGACGACTTGGTCTTTGCCACAGCTGACACTGCTGGACTCGCCTACGTGAAGTCCGAGCTGTAGAAGCGACACACGTGCACAGACCTGGGTGAACTGCGCAGCTACCTTGGCTTGCAGATCACCCGGGACAGAGCACGCCGCACCATTACCCTGACTCAGTCACACATGGTGCAGCAGGTCCTTCAGCGCTTCGGCTTCACGTACTCCTCGCCTCAGGCCACTCCTCTGCCTACTCGCCACTCACTCTCAGCTCTGCCTTCGGATGAGTCCGTAGAGTCGAGTGGCCCGTATCCAGAGCTGGTTGGCTGCCTCATGTACCTGATGACCTGCACACGACCTGACCTTGCATACGCTCTTAGCATTCTTGCACGCTATGTTGCTCCTGGGAGACACCGACCAGAGCACATGGCTGCAGCGAAGAGGGTGTTGCGCTACTTGTGCAGTACGTCGGGCATGGGGCTAGTGCTTGGAGGGCGGAGTCCAGTGGTCCTCACTGGGCATGCGGACGCTTCTTCGGCTGACGACCAGGCTACGCAGCGGTCGTCACAGGGTTACACCTTTAGTCTTGGTTCCGGCTCTGTTTCGTGGCGGGCTACCCGCTCGTCTTCTGTTCTCGGCTCCAGTTGTGAGGCTGAGATCTACGCCGGGGCTATGGCTGCCCATGAGCTTCGCTGGCTCACCTACCTGCTGACCGACCTTGGAGAGCCGCCTCGTTCTCCTCCAGTCCTGTACGTAGACAACAAGGCCATGCTGGCCTTGTGTCGAGAGCAGCGACTGGAGCACAGGACAAAGCACATTGCTCTCCGTTACTTTCTTGCTCGTGAGCTACAGCATCGTGGACAGTTGCGGCTTGCGTACGTGGCCTCTGAGGCCAACACTGCTGATGTTTTCACCAAGGCACTTGCGCCTTGTGATCATCAGCGCTTCTGCACTCAGCTGGGTCTTGTGCTTGTCTTGCCTCACTTGCTCACTTCTTGACCTTGCTTGTACTGTCAGATATATATACTCCTGCTCTTGCTTGCTTAGCCTCGTATATATATATGTGCTCTTGCATGTGAACTGGCCTTTTGGCCTTTGAACTTGTGCTCGGAATGTGTGGTGACTTTGTGATCCACCCTGAGCTTGCTTTGCTTTGCTTTGCTTTGCTTTGCTTGACTGGTCTTGTGACCCCTTGTTCTCCCCCACTTTGCCTATGGGGGTGTGTCAGAACATTATAGCTTATGCTATTGTGTAGGCTATTGTGGGGTATCCCATAGGGGGTACAACACAACTAGGGTTTCATATTTTTACTCGTTTCATTCATAGTTCATCCATTCTCGTTCAACTTTTCTCAGCGCCCGTTCATGTTTGTAAACTCCCTGGCGTTCTTAAGCCCGTCGCTTGTGAACATGCCTTTGATAAGCACCCACTGGCCGTACTTCTTGATGTCCTTGCGACCAGTAGCGCCGCCGCGCAAAATGTCGGCGGCCGCCGCGGGGATCATCCAGAGGATGGCCGAGCTGTACGGGACCAACGCGGTCGTGCGCTTGAGCTCGTCTAGCTGCTCGTCGTTTGGCTCCCAATCCTTTTCTGCACGCGCCAGAGGTCACCGTGGGATGATGAGATGATGATGGAGCCATCTAGAAAGAGAAATAAAAAGCAAAGAAGAGAAAAAAAACATTGCGGGAGAACATGCCTGCCTAACGTATTTACAGAAGGGATTATCATTTCTAAATTGTACTGACCCAAAAGAGACCCCCAGGTGACTTCCGGGCAAGATTCGGGTCATTTGGAAATCTGTCCCAAAAGTTACTTTAGGAACTGACACTTTAGGTTAGTCTGATGTCGAATAGGCTAACCCAAAAGTGACTTTCGGGTCAGGTACGGGTTAAGATTTGGCGGGAAAAGTCAGGTACGGGTCAGGACACACTGTCTCGACAGTAACTTTCAGGTCAGATTTGGGTCAGTTTCGGGTCACACGTAGCCAATGCATGTCAGGCATATATGCTATAGTCTGTGTAGGCTGTAGTGGGGCAGTTCATATGGGGTACAACACTTTAGGGTTTAGTAGTTGTACTCATTCTGCTCAATGCACTCATTCCTCGTTTCTTATCATGGTATCGAGCAGGTTCCCTAGTGGGAACGCTACCTAGGGCCCACCACGATTTTTTTTCCTGCCCGGAGCACGCTTCACTCCTGCCCGAGTCGCGCTCTGTGTGCCCTCCCTACCTTCGCGCCGCCCTTAGTGGCCCCTCTCACGGCCCCTTACGCCGCCCTTACGGCCCCTAGCGCCGCCCTCTACGGCCCCTCGCGCCGCCCTTACGGCCCCTTACGGCCCCTCGCGCTGCCCTTACGGCCCCTTATGGCCCCTCACGCCGCCCTTACGGCCCTCGCGCGGCCCCCTTTTGGCCCCTCGCGGCGCCCTTTCCGGCCCCTTACAGCCCCGTCGCCGCCCCGTTTCGGCCCCTCTTCGGCCCCGTCTAGGCCCCTTGCGGCCCCCTCTGCGGCCCCGTCTAGGCCCCTTGCGTCCCCTCTGCGGCCCCTCTGAGACCCCATCGCCGCCACCTATGGCCCCATCGCCGCCACCTGCGGCCCCGTCGCCATCGTCTGCGGCCCCATCGCCGTCACCTGCGGCCCCTTCGCCGCCACTTGCGGCCCCGTCGCCGCCACCTACGGCCCCGTCGCCGCCCCCTGCGGCCCCGTCGCCACCACATACGGCCATGCAGCCATCACCTTCGGCCCCGCCGCCACCTGCGGCCCCGTCTCCGCCACCTGCGGCCCCGTCGCCGTCACGTGCGGCCCCGTCTCCCTCCCCTAGCAGCCCTGTCGCCGCTCAGCCGCCCACCGACCGAGCCGCCGAGCAATCTAGCAGCCGAGCCGCCCACCTGCCGAGCAGCCAAGCCGCCCAGCAGCCGAGCCGCCCAGCAGCCGAGCCACCGAGCAGCCGAGCCGCCCAGCAGCCGAGCCGCCCAGCAACCGAGCCGCCCAGCCGCCGAGCCGCCCAGCAGCCGAGCCGCCCAGCAGCCAAGCCGCTCTGCCACCGAGCCGCCCTAATGTCGAGCCGCTGTGGTTCCTACCGGTGCGCCCCGGCCCTCCTTCCTCGGACTGGTGAGCTCACTCCCTCCTAGGCCACTGCAGTCATGGCTACCCCCAGTGTCCTTACTTTTGATGCTGAGGGCCGTGCCGTTGACTTTGAGGTCTGGGTCGATGACCTCCAGCTGTTTCTCCAGTGCGATAGGGCAGACGGACTCTCTCTATTTGATCTCACCTCTGGTGCCTCTCCTGCCCCGCCTGCTACTGCAGACAGCACTCTTTGCTGTGCGTCGCCACTTACCGACCACTGAGCGTGCACACTTTAGCCAGTACAAGAGTGCTCAGACCTTGTACGACGCTGTAGTTGCACGCTACTCCTCCCCTGCCACTGCTGCACTGAGCCGCCTCATGCTGCCGTACCTCTTCTGTGCTATGCTAGGTCTTGTGCCTACTTGGCCTCACTTGCTCACTTCTTGATCTTGTTTGTACTGTACTCTTTCTATACCTGCACTTGCTTGTTTACCTTTATATATATGATCTTGCATGTGAACTGGCCTTGTGGCCTTGCTCTTGTGCTCGGACTGTATGATGACGTTCTGATCCACCCTAAGCTTGCTTTGCTTTGCTTGACTGGTCTTGTGACCCCTTGTTCTCCCCCACTTTGCCTATGGGGGTGTGTCAGGCATATATGCTATAGTCTGTGTAGGCTGTAGTGGGGCAGTTCATATGGGGTACAACACTTTAGGGTTTACTCCTCATTCTGCTCAATGCACTCATTCCTCGTTTCTTATCAGCGCATGGCCTGGTATCCCCTTTACAGTGTTTTTTTTTTGTAATAATCGTTTTTTTGTTGAGAATGTATTATATATATTTCACAATATAATAGCAGAACGTCAAATAACACCAGCATGACCAGGGCCTTGTATGAGAAGAAATAAGGAATGAATGTACTATGAATGAATTGGGTACAAGTACTAACCCTAATTGGGTTGTACCCCTTATGGGCTACCCCACTATAGCCTACACAATATGCATAAGCTATAATGTTCTGACACACCCCCATAGGCAAAGTGGGGGAGAACAAGGGGTCATAAGACCAGTCAAGCAAAACAAAGCAAAGCAAGCTCAGGGTGGATCACAAAGTCACCACACATTCCGAGCACAAGTTCAAGGCCACAAGGCCAGTTCACATGCAGGAGTACATATATATAAAAAGGCTAGACAAGCAAGAGCAGGTGTATAAATATATGAAACAATACAAGCAAGGTCAAGAGGTGAGCAAGTGAGGCAAGGTAGGCACAAGGCCCAGCTGAGTACAGAAGCGCTGATGGTCACAACGCGCAAGCGCCTTGGTGAAGATATCAGCAGTGTTGGCCTCAGAGGCCACGTACATAAGACACATCTGACCACGCTGCTGCAGCTCACGAGCAAGAAAGTAGCGGAGAGCAATGTGCTTCGTTCTGTGCTCCATTCGCTGCTCCCGACACAAGGCCAGCATGGCCTTGTTGTCTACGTACAGCACTGGAGGAGAACAAGGAGGCCCACCAAGGTCAGTCAGCAGGTAGGTGAGCCAGCGAAGCTCCTGTGCAGCCATGGCTCCTGCGTAGATCTCAGCCTTACAACTGAAGCCGAGAACAGAAGACGAGCGAGTAGCCCGCCACGAAGCAGAGCCGGAACCAAGGCTCAAGGTGTAACCCTGTGACGTCCGCTGCGTAGCCTGGTCGTCAGCCCAAGAAGCGTCTGCGTGCCCAGTAAGGACCACTGGACTCTGCCCTCCAAGCACAAGCCCCATGCCGGACGTATTGCACAAGTAGCGCAACACCCTCTTCGCTGCAGCCATGTGCTCCGGTCTGTGTCTCCGAGGAGCAACATAGCGTGCGAGAATGCTAAGAGGGTATGCAAGGTCAGGTCGTGTGCAGGTCATCAGGTACATGAGGCAGCCAACAAGCTCTGGGTACGGGCCACTCGACTCTACGGACTCATCCGAAGGCAGAGCTGAGAGCGAGTGGCGAGTAGGCAGAGGAGTGGCTTGAGGCGAGGAGTACGTGAAGCCGAAGCGCTGAAGGACCTGCTGCACCATGTGTGACTGAGTCAGGGTAATGGTGCGGCGTGCTCTGTCCCGAGTGATCTGCAAGCCAAGGTAGCTGCGCAGTTCGCCCAGGTCAGTGCACGTGTGTCTCTTCTGCAGCTCGGACTTCACGTGGGCGAGTCCAGCAGTGTCAGGTGTGGCAAAGACCAAGTCATCGACGTACACGAGGATGTAGAACGGCGGCAAAGAAGTGTCGGTGCACAGAAACAGCGACGGGTCGGCAATAGAGGGAGCAAACCCAAGAGCCGAAAGTGTAGTCCTCAGTGTGTCGTGCCACTCACGCGGTGCCTGGCGGAGACCGTAGACTGGACGCCGGAGGCTCCACTAGGTGCCAGGAGGAAAAGTCCCAGTAAAGCCAAGTGGGGGGCGCAGCCAGATCTCCTCATGCAGGCTGCCCTGCAAGAAAGCAGTGCTGAAGTCAAGAGAGTGTAGCTCGTAGTCACGGTGAGCAGCTATGTGCAGAAGTACCCGAAGAGTGGTCATCTTCGGGGTGGGAGAGAAGGTCTGAAAGTAGTCAACTCCCTGCCGCTGACTGAAGCCACGAGCCACGTAACGCGCCTTGAAGACAGGCGGAGAACCCGGCGGTCGCTTCACCCTGAAAATCCACATGCCACTGACGATGTTCGCCCCAGGCGGGGGAACCTCGTCAACATAGGTGCGTGTGGACTTCAAGGAAGCCATCTCTGCGTCCATAGCTGCCTGCCACTGAGAGGAGTAGGGACCCTCTATCGCCTCCGCGTAAGAGCGCGGAGTCGGGATGTGAAGTGCATCCGGGTCTCCCTCAGGGGTAAGTAGTACGGACACGAGATGAGGTGAAGCAGCGGCCAAGCACTGGAACTCCTCCTGCCTGTCCTCGAGGACGTCCGTGCCAAGGGCACACTCACCCTCGATGGACGGAGGACAGACAGACTCAGACTCAGCAACAAGACTGGCAACGTAGTCTAGGCGAGAGCGAGCAGCAAAGTCGACGAGCTCAGCAACTAGGGCAGACGCAGCAGTGGACTCAAAAGGAAGGGTCAGTGACAACTGTAGCAAGGAGACGCGTGACAGTAGGACTGGCAGCACGAAGAGAGTCCGACTCCGGGTCGGCAAGAGCAGGAAGAGAAGACTCAGGAGGAGAAGGCAAAGGGGCACGCAGAGGAGAAGTGGACGGACGCATAGACATCCGGTGCGTGCCAGGGACAGGAGGAGGACGCTAACGCGAACCGCGACCACTAGTGCGAGCAGCACGGACAGGCGACGCAAGGTGAGACGCAGGCTCACGACGCTCAGCAAGACCTCCAGTAGGACCAGTGTAGGGAGAAGGAGCAGGTAGTGGGGAGGCCGGCTGTAACTGTAACTGTGACGGGACAGGCTGTGGACACTCTAAGGGAGGAGGAGGACCAGTAGAAGACGGGAGACCAAGAACCTGCTGAAGGAGCGGAACGAAGTACGGCCAAGGCCGTGCGGCGACTTCAGACACAGCAGGGACAGCACTAGCACCCCAAGTGGTAGCATCAGCACCAGTAGCAGCTCCAGCTCCAGTACCTCCAGCAGCACCAGTAGTACCCCCAGCAGGACCGCCTCCAGGACCGACAGCAGTAGCCTCCGCGCCAACACCAGCAACAGCTCCAGCTCCAGAAGTACCCGCAGGCCCAGCAGCTCCAGTACTCCCAGTACGAGCACCTCCGGGATCCGTGGCACCAGCTCCCTCAGCAGCAACAGAACCTCTAGTACCCGCAGCACCTCCAGCTCCAGCAGCTCGCCACCAGCGCCGGGCAAACCACTCACGCGGCTCCTATGGAGAGAGTGGCTCCCGCCGAGACGAAGCACCCGGAGAACCGCCACGCACAGCACCAGCAGGCCCAGCTCCCTCACGCTCCGCACCCCCAGGCTCAGCACCTCCAGGCGTAGCACCCCCAGGCTCAGCACCCCCAGGCTCAGCACCCCCACGCGTAGCACCCCCAGGCTCAGCACCCCCAGACTTAGCACCCCCAGGCTCAGCACCCCCAGTCGTAGTACCCTCAGGCTCAGCACCCCAAGGGGTAGCACCCACACGCTCAGCACCCCCAGAGTCAGCACCCCCAGGCTCAGCACCCTCAGCAGCACTAGAGTCACCAGCGACCTCGACAGGCTCAACAGTGTCTACCTGGGACACACCTGAAGGGGCAGGAGCCTGAGGGGGGAGGGGGTCTACCGGGGGGGGACCTGGCACAAGGAAGAGCGGTGGCGGGGGGAGGGACGGAGTGCGGTAGGGGAAGAGACGGTAGTAGGGGACCGACTCATCGAACGTGACGTCCTAGGAGGACAGAACATGGCGAGAGGTGGGGTGGTAGAACTGCCACCCTGGTGCGTCAGGGGGGAAACCCAGGAAGACGCAAGGAGCAGCACGAGGGGACAGCTTGTCCGTAGACAAGTCGCGGACAAACGCCCGAGATCCCCAGACACGGAACGCAGACGCATTGCCAACCGTCCCCGTATACAGTAAAGCTGGGGAGGTCTCCGGCACGGAGACCCTGGGGTGAAGGTTGATCTAATGCGCCGCGTACCGGACCGCAAACGGCCACAGAAAATGGGGGGCAGCCGCATGCATCATGGACGTACGGGCGACGTCCATGACCATGCTATTGATTGTGTAGGTGGTTGTGGTATTTTGCTCTAGCTGGTTGTGGGCTAAGGGTTTGGGCAAAATGTGGTGGTTAGACTTGTTGCGGGCT